GCTGATGAAGGACATGCCCTGAGAAAGGTGATTGTCAGCAGAAACATTTACTCCTCATGCATATAACATGCTTATACCATATATTGTTTACTTTTTTTTTAATAAAACATTCATAAATGGGGCTTTGGTTAAAACTGGCAGAGTAAAGATGATGGTGCTGAAAGGCAGCAGAGGTGTTGCCTACACCTGTAGCCTTTTTTCTAGGCAGTTTGTCAAGGCTTTATGCTCCAAGTGGTTATTACCATGAACAGGTAAAACCTGCTGACTTAAGTGTAAGTGTTCACAGTAGAAGATGTTACAGTTAGGAATGATTTGCTTGGCTAGGACTGTAAGACAGGGTAGCATCAAAGATGTTTATTCATATTGCCTAGGTCAAGTTTAGGGAGCAAGGAAACCCAGTTTGTATCTCTTAGACACCCAAGAGCGAAAGAGATGAAATGTTGTTGTCATAGGTGATGCCTGAGTCTTGCCATTACAGATGAATTCAGGTAACTTTCCAGGCTCCTAGGCCCTGTACTGAAGCTTTTAGAGCTCTTGGTTTTTATTTGAATGAGCAAGCAAAGAGGAGTGTCATATTCCACCCAGTTTGTGCCCTAAGCAAACAGTAAGTTGGGTTCATATTTTTGCTGTGATGTTCAAAACTATCCGAAGCATCAAACCAATTCAAAACGTCAAGGGACACATGAGCCAGGGACACGAGTCTGCTGCGTTGCTGCACGGCGCATGCAAGCTGTGGGCCCCCCTTCTGGGGAGCCTCATTCCAGCTTGACCAGCTCAAAGGCTGTGTCCAGAATCCCAGGAAACTGTGCTGTGAAAGCCACCTCTGCTAGGACTACAACAAGGTCCCAGACTCCCCTTTGGTGGTAGGACAAATTTCTGTGAGGTTGTTATTCAAAGAGAAAACAAATACAGAACCTGGTGCAAGTACTTGATACTGGCAATGATGCTACATACCAGCACATGCATGGTTTGAAACATATGAAAATCAACCCCAATGGAGGGCTAATAGAGGTGGGCAATACCTGAGCTATGTGAGTGCTGTGATATTGCCAGGTCAACTGCTCTTTCCTCGCATCCTGGGGGTTTCTGCCTGCGCTCAGTAGTGTCAGGCTTCAGCCCTTACAGCAGGCGAGGAATTCTGCCCCTCCTGCTGACCAGCTGCAAGCTGGACTCCAGCTCCTCACCTTCACCTCTAGCAAATCAACTGGTCTGACATGAACTGGCCTTCTGTGGATTCATCTTTGACAGCAGCTGGTTAAATGAGGAAAAAACTGCTTTAAATCAAAGGACCCATTTATTTACATTGGCTAAAGTATGAGATGATCACATGCAGAGGCCATAGCCCATGCACGCAGTTTATTTTTTCCAGTGCTTGGTCTCACTGTCCGTAACTTAGGTGTCTCATGAATATTGTCACTTTTTGAGATGGGAGGAGTAGCAATGAAGGAGTAGCAATAATAATAAATTCAGCGTGCTGAATGCTCAGGGTGCCATCCACAGCTTTCCCTTCTGGAACACAGGTCTAGCTCCCTGCAGGGGCTGACTTTTTTTGTTGTTTTTAAATATTCCTCCCTTTGGGTTTGGCAAAACAACTGTGTCACTTTCAGTGGGACTCAGGACTCTGTACTTGGGTCTCTAAACCTGGCAGTTGTATTTGAGGGGCTGCTCTTTATCTGAGCAAACACATTAGGTTTTCTGCTTGTTTTACTTTTTTTTTTTTTTTTAACAGCTCTTTGATCACTTGCATTGAGCTTATACCCAAGCATACTGCAGTGGAAGACACAGAGGAAAATGAGTCATACACAATATTTGTATTTTCCTAGTTAGTTGCATGTAGTATTAGTTTATTTGAAGAATTATAGATTTAATATTTCCAATGACCTTTAATGCCTGGAGAGACTCTTTGTTCATAGCCACAGATAAAAGATGTTTTCATGCTTTTCTCCTTTTCCACATGTGATAAGGTCACCCAGGGTCTGCCCTACTAATGTTCTGCCCGTAGGGTCTTGTACTTCATTCTCTAGTGAGAGAGAAATAGAAGAAATTAAATTCTCTCTGTTCTTTCATCGCAACTTTTCAGCACAATACAATATTTTTGTGACTGTCTCTTGACCCTGTCCGTGTTCTGTTCACCTGACCCTGAGATACAAGAGCAGTGCATGCGGTTTAAATAACCAAACTGAATTTCAGTATTTGCCAGTTAAAATGATCCTAACAGGAGGGACAAATCACTCATTCTTGCTTGATAGCATTTTTGTAGTGGAAAAAAGAGAACCTGCCCCTGTACTGAGTTTCTCTAGCCAGCTTGGGACCTGAATTACATTTGCAAAGGTAAATTGTAGAGGATTTCTTGACTGAAGAAGCCGCAAGGAAAAGCTGCTCAGTGGGGGGTGTCATATTCTATACCAACAATCTCTCACAGAGGGAAAAGGTTTTGAAAATTACAGCTCTCTTCACCCCTCCACCTAAAATTAACCTAGAAGCCTCTAAACTGTTTCCACTGCTCCTTAATACAGTTTCCAGTGTGGACAAACCAAGATATGCTGTAAGATCTAGTTTGCTTTGTACCTATTTTGCATGTAAAGCAGAGGCAGAAATAACGATTGTTCCATAGCAGTCACATAGATACTGAATGCATTTCTAGGAGGATTTCACACTAACTCTCTGTTCTGTCCCCTGACTCAGGCTCCTAGGCTGGATGAAAACACAGTACACAACAACTGTTTGCAAAAATTGCTTCCAATAAGCAATTGGGAGATGGGGCCTGCTGTGTGTTGCTCTACTTGTTTGGGACCGTTTCTGTAAAAAAATAGGAAATAATGAGGTTGGGAGGGGAGAATTGAGAACTATTGGAAACCCTTGGTTGGAGAGAGGAAGTAGCATGTTGGAACTTGTAATCCAGTGTCATGGAATTCAGGTGAGTATCAGACAGGACCTTCCCACCTATCAAGTGATCCTGGAGAAAGGGAGTCTCCTGAGTAGGTGTTTAACTCCATTTCTGGGCAAATAAATGCCTCTCCTATCTTGTTAAAGGTAATTTCTAGGCTGTTACAGTTTAGGAGAAACTTTTCTTGATGACTCAAGGAAGGAAGATTTTAACCAAATGGACTTGGACTTCACCTACAAATAACACATCTGTGCTGCATTCAACCAGTTCAATTATATAAGACACACATAAAAATAAGCTATAAAAAGTGGAGCAGGCAGCACTCTCCACTGTTTTGCATAAACCTTGATGAGTACCCCAGATTTTGATGGTGCAAGTCTAGGTTTAATCTAGGGGAAAAGACTGTCACGACTGGGCTTCTGGGTTTCATCTGCTGTACTGAGATGAACAGACTGCAATGGGATGCAAAGATAAACATCAGTGAGGAGTTTCTGCATTGGAATAAAATAGAATAGGACCTGCCATTGTGTTCAGTTTTAACTTATTTTGGAAATATTTTCCCTTCTGCAAAAATCAGGAAGATGAGCCATTTTATTGTCTAAAAGTGTATTACATTCTTTTATATAAAGACTGGCATTAATAATCTGATTTATATGACCTTAAAATGTATATACACACCAACACAGATAGACACATACGTATACACATACACACATGCAGCCTATTTTACAAGCATCTACAAGACTGCATTTTTCCTTGTTTGGTACTTGAAGGCAATTAACTATTTTCACTGCTCTTAAGTATAGGTGAAACACTAATAGATTTGCTAAATTGGCAGATTGCTTGGTGGTTATTTGCGAAATCAGTTCTTACCCAGATCCTCTCCTATAGAATTTTTAGGTCTTCAAGAAAATATTCCTATTTGAGAAGGATAAGAAGCAGTTGCCTCTGGGACTTGCTCACATAAAGTCACGCAGAGGGATGTTTTTCTAATGGATAGCTCTCCTCATGGAAAGTTTTCCAGCTGATATGTTTGTGCATTTGGCCTATTTGCTGTTTCAGCATATTTAGCACAGCACATTTGTATGTTTTTCTTATCTGCAGCTGACTTTTTGTAGAGGGCCTTTGCTGGAGAATACAAGAGCAATACAGCATAGGTGGCCTTCTTGGTAAATAGGACATTTTATTCTGTTAGCCAGTCTTTATTTGAAGACATCTGGACTATTATCCTCATGGCAGTAGTGTCATCAGCAAGGGCAGAGTTAGTTTTCAGTAGAGGAAACTTGTCTTGTTTAACATAGCAGCATTTATTCTCATAGGAAAGTGTACCAGGCATTACAAAAGCCTGTTATCCCTGTGGGGTGGCACTAACTCCTTGAAGATGACTTCTCCCACGACTGACTGTCTAGGTGATCTGGTAAAACAAGTCCAATGTGATAAAGAGGAACACTGTTTTTGCATAGATTCCTTCTACACTGAGTAGGAAAGCTCTTCATGCCAAGGAAAACTTCCTAGAAAGAAGCAGTGATTCTAAGCAAAAACCTTGCTGGAGAGCAGAGGTGTGAAATCTATGACTGAGAAGTTGGAAAGCCAGATTTGATTCCGGTGAGAAGTCATCTCCTAGGAAATAATTGTGTTTCTGGGTCACGGAGACTTGACTTTTTGCCAAATAATCTGGCAGAATCCCCTGCCTTTGTGCCTTGTGTGCGTGCTGGTTTTCCAGGCTGCTTTGTGGTAGAGCACTTTTCATTCTGTGTCCACTAGACCTGTGTAAAAGTGAATTATTAGCACCAACATAGTGGTCTCAGGCTAATCATTTTTGAATAGAGTGGAAGCAGGACTTTCCATGTGCTTCATGACCAAAAGCGGTAGTAGCTCCCTTAATGAAAAGGAATTAGAGTATCCTCCTTGAGCGAACAGCATTTCTCCAGGTTTTGTTTGGAGGGTGGGACAGTTGAAAAATGTGATGGTAGTGAGAGGAAAGGGTCATGTGCTTTTCCAGTGACAGCCTCCCTCCTCCTCACTTCATGCCTGTGCCTGCTGTGGCTGGTGTTCACTTCTAACTTGTGGAAGTGGTTTCTGAGGACCATCTCTCCTTACTGTGTCCATTCAGGTCTCGGTCAATCAGCGGAGCTTCGTCTGGGCTCTCCACCAGTCCTCTGAGCAGTCCAAGGGTAAGTGGTGCCGCTTCATGATCCGTTGGTCCGATTCACTCACACATGCTTGATGCTTTTCGACATCTGTTGCTGCAGAGCTGTGGCTGGGATGTTTTGGTTTTCCTTGGCAGCTTGTAAATGTTCCTAGGCGGAGAGGGAGATGTTATTTACAAATCTGAGCAGAGAATTTATTATACATGTTGTCAGCAGTACTAGTGGTACCTCGCTCAGCCTCTGCCTGTCTGCAGTCCTATAGCTGCAGAGAACAGCACTGCGATGACTGGTCGCTGCCGTATCTAGCTGTGGTGTACGCAGCCTGGGTTCAGCCCGTGTTTCAGGAGCTCTTCCACAGCTACGTCCAGCTGTGCCACAGTAGTGTGCCACACCGTGCTAAGTGCAATTCATGTGATTCTCTTTGCCACAGAATAGTGTGAACTAGAAAGTTAAAATAAATCTCAAGAATTTGAGGGCTAACAACTTTTAATGGCAAAATTGTCATGTACTTTGAGGCCTTCCTGGGAAGGTGCCATTTCACACTATGTCAGGACCTATGGATATACTCTTACATATATGAGATAATGTCATTATTTGAAGCATTAAAATTGTAATTTTCCTTTAACTTTGTGCAGAATTCTTAGGTATGAAGTTACATTTCAAGGTGTAAGATTCTAGTTTAATAACGCTTCTAACTTCTTTCTTGGTGAAGAACATACTGAAAAAGAGCATAGAAGCAGTTTTGTGCCTAAAATAAGCATCCAGTGCTGCAAAGCTTAGTCTTGATCTCATTAATTGATCTCTTGGGATCATTTTTTGACATCTCAGTAGGACTACATTAAAGAATAAAGATGACAAGATCTGTTCCACAGTTGCTGTATTGTAACATTATTACTTAATAGGTTATTGATTAAATAGTCTTCAAAGTGATTTAGCATCCAGATGGCATTTTCAGCAAATCATAACCATTTTAAGCAGGTCAAATTGGAGGTTTAATAGAAAAGGTTTGTATAAAAGTCATAATTTTTTAAAGACAGTATCTGTGCTTCTAATAACACCTTAGATTATTCATAACAACCTAGATTATTCAAAGAGAACACATTTTTTGAGAGCAAATATGTTTCACACTGTGTATTTATTTGCAAGAGTTCTATGAGGAATTGAATTCAACATCATCAATAAGTTTTTAAAATCTCAAAAGATCTTACGATGATTGTGAACCCTGTAGTGCCAGATGGAAGAAAAGCCTAACCTTGTTCTTTGCCACCTAATAATAAAAGTGGTAATTAAGGGACCCCCTTCAGATGCACAGTGGTTTGACTGGGAGTCAAATTTGGCTTCATTTCTTTCAAATTTGATTCTCAAACCATTGTAGACATAAGATATAAAAGTTGCAAGTTGCAAAATTGCAAAAGTTGCAATTGCAAACATTTGTAATTAACAGTCTTTAACCCGTATCCATCAAAGGAATCATTTTCAAATGGTTAGTAGGCTAATGTTGATAGTGACTTTTATAAATTAGCTACTTTCCTCATCTTTTCACTGTCCTTTACCATTGCTGATGAAGGTCTACTGAAATGGCAGACTTTTAGAATTCTAAATAAAATGAAAATGTTTTCACATAATGGTTTTCTTTAAATTTTGGTGGCCTGACTTTAAGCTCTTTAAAGTCACCAGGAAACCGTGATGCAAACAGCCTTAGGAATTAAATTTTAAATATACCTCTGCATTGTATGGATAGATAGATATGGATAGATTCATTGGACTATGTCAATGTTGTGCTAATCGATCAAATCCAGAAATGAAACTCACTAGTGAGTGTGTTTAACTGAGCTTTGAGGCAAGGTTATGTTTACATGGTAGTCTGGGACAGGGCTTGTTAAGAGCTTTTTGGTGTTCAGAATGTCTAATAATAATAATGATAAATAATTTTCATAGGTAATAATCTATAAAAAGTCAGAATCTGCAAATAGAACAAAGCTAAAGAGCTTGAATTGCTTGTTTTACAATTCTGCCAAAACTTGTGAACTAAAGTGTTAACAGCAATTTGTTGTAAGGACAATCTTTTATTTTTATAATGTGATTTTTGGCTTGCCAATACCCCTTCAGAGGCCTCCCACCCTCCCAAGTCTGTGTATTGCTGTTTGCTGGCTACACTTGAATGGTTCCCCAAAATGCCTCTAACCAACATATAAATGTTCTTGTCTGGGGGAAAAAAAAATCATAATCCGTATTTGATAACTCTTTGATGGATTATGAACTTTGGTTGTCTTTTTAAACTGTATCTTGCTGCACAGTGACTCTCCCACTCTCCGCAGAATTGGGCAACTATTGCTACAAGTTTACAGACACCAAATTCAGGTTATCAAAGTGTCCTTCGACAGGATGAAAGATATAGCGAGCAGACCATAAAGTCTGATGGGAAATTCCCCTCCCAGATAAAGAAATCTGCCAGGCCTCAGAAATTTGCTCCATAGCTACTTACAAATGAAGCACCAACCCCATTTCACATTTTCCTCTTGGTGTTCTGAAGGCTCCAAGCTAATGCGGAGCATTTTAAGCCTCCAGGCCAGGGGAGGAGCGCGGGTGCCAAGGGGGCCTCGCTCTCCTTTTCTTCCCCTTTCTGCCCTGGGTGGCTGCAACCAGCTGCGTTTGCATTAGCTGGAGGCCGGGGTGAAGAGGAGGGACAGAGGTTCTGAGCGGTGTGTGCAGTAGCCTGTGTGTATCGCCCGCCACTCCGTATGCATCACACACACCCCTTTGGAGTTTCACCTCTCTGCTGGGTTTGCACATGGGCACCCAGAGCTGCAAGAGGTGACCCCATTCTTGGCACATCTCAGTTTGTCTGTGGCTTGAGTGGTTCTTTTCCCCCCTCCCTCACCTCCCCACGACATCGTGCTTCTCTCACTGCAGGGCAATCAGAACAATCCCAGAGAGATGGCATTTCTCTCTTCTTTTCTTTTTTTATTTCTTGGTTACTTTCTTTTTTTTTTTACTTTTTGTTTACTTTCTGTTGTTTTTCTTTGCCAACACATGATTGATTAAGATGATGAAGCCTGTTATGACACTGTTGTTCTTGCTGCTGCCGCTGCTGCTGTTGTTGATGATGCTGTGTTCCCAGCTAACTGCATGTCTTTTTTTTTGTTTTTTGTTTGTTTGTTCGTTTTTGTTTCTTTGCAAAATCCCTTTCCCCCACGACCCTTCACTTCCATCTCTGGTGTCTCCTTGTGACATGGTGCATCTTTGTGACTCGGATGGATTTTATTCTGACTTTCGTTCCCTGCTCGCCCGCTCTATGCGTTTTTCACTGTTTTTGGTGTGCATGGACACTCTGCGTCTGTCTCGTAGCCTATCAGAAAGTTCTTCATCCCCCCTCAGACCTCCGACCTCCCTTTCTCTCCCCGACCCCAAGTCTCCTTGGACCCTGATGCTTGTAGGAACGCCTCCAGGCCTGGACATGTACTCCAACCAAAGCCAGCACTTCAGCCCAACCCAAAGACGCAGACTTTGCCATCCAAGAGCAAATTGGCTGAAAAACCACTCCAGTCTACTAAATCCAACCCACTCCCTGCCAGCAATGCCAGCGCTCCCTCTTCCCAGAACACACCTGTGCAGAATGCTCAGGGCCGCTCACCTGCTGCCGCCTTTAACCCACAGCTGGCTGTTCCTAAAGTGCAGACCAACCCTATGTCTCCTGTTAGGTTACTCCCTTCTAGTACTGACCCAAGCACCAAATCTATCCCCATCATACAGGTCACCCCTCACCCCTCTCCAAGGGGAAGTCCCCTCCCTACCCCCAAGGGGACACCTGTCCATACGCCAAAGGAGAGCCCAGCAGGCACACCCAACCCAACACCACCATCCAGCCCCAGCATTGGAGGAATGCCATGGAGGACACGGCTCAACTCAATCAAGAATAGTTTCCTGGGGTCTCCTCGGTTCCATCGCCGGAAATTGCAAGGTGAGTAAACCATCCAAACTTACAGGGAGGTTCTGATTTGGGCAGACATTGAGCAGCAGGTTGATACCTCCATTTGGCTCTGCAGACTTCCATGTAGTAAGGACTGATGTTGAAAATAAGAAAGTGATAGCATCAGCCAAGCCCAAACCCTAGACTAAACCTGTAGGAAAGGAATATTAGAGCCATAGAAAAGCTAGGTTTTGAATTCAGATGATAAGGGACATAGTCTCTGAGGTGACCAGAGAAGTTCCGAGAATTACAGGAATGACTGGTCTGCATCCAGCTGGTCTTTTGAAGAAACTGAAGCAAATGACCTAGACTCCTGGTTTGACTTCATGCTGAGAAAAGTCCACAGCGATTTGCTATATATTTCAGTGGCTGCAGACAGTCTTTGGATGATGCCCATTTGATAAGTGTAAGAATTGATCCATGAAAAATAGCAAGGCAATTAAATTAGCATGGTGTTTGGATCTGAACCAGAACCCACTGAATACAATGCAAGATTTGTTAGTGACTTGAGGCAGGGTAGGGTGAGTTTGGAAATGCATCACTAGATTAGATACAATGATCTAGAAACATATGAGCAGCATTCAAATGTCAGGCTAGTCTAAAGAGGCAGCAGGCAAGCACAAGAGTGTTTAGTGCTAGAAGTCTTTCAGTGGTATGGAAGCAGAAAGATGAAGGTCTCCTGATCCATCTCTCTTTTCTTCTTCCCTCTGTCTGGCGGCGCTTGCACCTGCAGTACCTACACCAGAGGAGATGTCCAATTTAACCCCGGAATCATCCCCAGAGTAAGTAATTTGCCACTCGACTACTACTTCTTTTCACTACATATCAATGTCATTTTCCTGTCTGAATGTCATAAAGTGACTCCATTTCACTACCTGACTATAAACAGAATGGGACAGAGTTATGAAATTGTTCTTCATCTAAGGCCTCTGGTCAAGTCTGCATCTCAACAAGCAGTGAGGAGTGAGCAGGTCATGAGATGGTCTCCAAGTTACCGCTTTCTTTTCTTACGGCTTGGTGAGCTTGATTGTTGTGAGGCATCTTCTTGCTCTCTTCTTTCATTTGATTCTCTAGCAGATCATACCTGAGGAGCACGCTGCACCTGAGGAGCAGCCAGGGTGAATCAGTGACTAATAGGGGCACTAACCATGCAATAAAATAATCTTTTTCTTCGTATAGGACACTTGGCACCCTCGGGATAATATGCAGAAGCTTCTGCTAAGATGATTCAGAGGAATCTTTGGCTGGGATTATAAACAGAGTGTTAATGCTGGGTGGCAACACTGGAAGATGAAGAAGCTATTTCATATTCACCAGACTCACTCCTAAAAATCCATGTACACTTAAACCATTTCATTGCACAAATGTGTGTCACTGCATGGCGGATTTGGGCGCCCCTGCCAGAGAGCGCAGCTCCAAACGCTGCCTAATTTATGCAGCAGACGCCAAATTATACCTTTTTATTTTCACAGCTTGTGTTTGTGCACCCAATGCCCATAGACTTTTCTTGCCAACCAGGGCAATTTGGCCTTTTGTCAAGATGCTTGTGTGAAATATTCATGAGTTGTTGGTGAAAATTTGGGACCCAAAGATTTCTAATTGGTGATAATGATATTGCTGTAGCAATTTCCCCAGGCATAGCATGTATCTGGTGTAAGATGGGCAATCTATTTCTAGTGCTGTAGAATGAAGGAGGGATAAAGAGAGAGGGAGAAGGTAAGAAATAGTTAAAGATAATAAAAGAAATCTTTTAGGAAGAAATCTTTAGGAAGGGAAAAAGGAAACAAATTGTGTTTTCACCACTTTGGAGTGCCTACTAATAGAGACACATGAGAAAATTTCATAAAATGAACAGATCCTTACTAAAGAAATATGAGATACTCCTATCTTGAATGTTTCTAAGGTTGTTAACGCAGAAAAGTATCTGCATGAAAATTCGTTTTTCTCTCCTCTTCATGCCTGTATGTCAGTGGAAGTTCATCTGTGAGTTTATTGCCATCTCCACTACCCACTCACCCTTTAAAAGCTGGTACAGAGAGGTAGCGCCTGTCATTTGAGGCAGTTTGGATGCAAGTCAAAGCCTAAGGCCCTTTTTTCATTTTATGTATAATTGCCAAATTAATGAGTTCAATTGGGCTGCACCCTGCAGTAAACATAATAAAAGTCATAAAAAAAAATGAACTGGATTTTATTTTAATGGTAGACGTCTTATTGCTCAGTGCCCACGTCCATCTTGTTTGGGGAGGGAATTTTCTTTCTTCCTGTAAGAAATAAGATATCCTTATTGAGTGCTCTATTGACCTCATGGGCTGAGTGATAAAAATACACATCCTTGTTCTGTTACAGCATTTTTTAATGACTGCCATTCGTTTAACAATCGTGATGATTGGGTAATATGCTTCAACACATCTGGGTGATGCTATTTTTTCTCTTTTGACAAGTCCCAGTGAATATGTTAGGGATGACATTTAACGAGACGTGTCTTCAGCTGCTTTAAACCAGCAAAGCTCTATTTGCCTGAGTAGAAATGCTGTTATTTAACAGCATTTGATAGCATAAACCAAGCAGGAAAACTTCAGGAAGTTGCAGGTCTGTGAGCTTAGGGACAGCAGCGAGGCTCTCCAGAAGGCCCTGCAGACAGACACTCCAAAAGCAGGAGCTGGAGCAGCATCATAGCAGTTAAAAATTCATTTCATCCATCTTCATTCAGCCTCCATGTTCATATTCATTTTATTTGTGAATTGGACACCTGATTGGATTTCCTGGAGTAGCTGGTGTTCCCCTTCGCCCACACACACCTCCTCCCTCCCTCCCAGCTGGACTCTAGGGAGAATCTGGAGGGAATCTGGAGAGAATAGGGAATCTGGAGATTCTAGGGCAGGTTTGCGTGCTGAACAGAGGAAAATGCCTCTATTTTGGGAGCCCTCTTAACCTGTGCTAATTAAGAGACCTATAAACAAGGAGCCCACAGCATCATTAATCAGGATACAAAAGTGAAAAACAGCATATTAAGATAGCAGACCTGCAATTAAATATTTGCACTTTGCCAAGCCCAACTTTCAAGGAGAACGCGTGACATCCACTGGGCCCCTGGAGTCCGTCACAGCCAACCTCTCTTCAGATAATGATAGATCCAAGCCTAAGCAACCAGCCCTTTTAGATGGATAGCCAGGTGCAAATTTAGTAATGAGCAGAGGCCCTTTACATGCGGGGAGCTATTGCCCCAACTCTCCAGGGGCTTGCGGAGATGTTATGGTGTGTGTGAGACACATGAGCTAATTAGTCTGTAATTTCCTTTCACACTCTAACCCTGACTCCTTAACGACCCATTTAAAAGAGAGGCCCTTTCTCTTTACTGCTCCCTATGCTAATCTTTGGCTCACTGGCTTAGTTACAGTTGCCTATGAATATTTTAGAGAGTTATGGTTTTCCAGCCCACTTTAATTGAGGAGGGGGCAGTGATTTACCAAATTGCGGTTGAATCTTTTTGCACTCTTGTTTTTGATTGCCTGCAGTAGGTGGAAACAAATGATTATTTGTACAACTGAGTTGTCTTCTGGTTCAAGTCCACTCTAAATGGCAATGAGATGACAGTGCTGGGATTCATGGAGCACTCTGGATTAGGGAATGAGTGCAAATTGCTTGATTTTTCTAAGATCACATTTTGTTCTTTATCTCAGAGGCCAAGACTTCAACTTAGTTTCCCAGTTTGTTATTCTCCCTCCTAGTCTCTGTCTTTCCTCATTCCTTGCTTGGAAAATGAATCTGCTAATAATCCTCTCCAGCTGTTCATTGCTTTGCTGGAAAGCCTTTTTGCAAATGATCTCCTTTTCTGGAGAAACACAGACTGCAGGAAGGCTTCTTCTGTTGAGTGGTAATGTTGTTCAAAACAAGTGAAAGCTACTGCTTGGCATATTGCAAATTGGATTTGTCATGCATTTAGAAAATATCCTGCAGAGAAAAAAACAAAGAAACAAAAAATGCATTTGCTTGGTGACAGGTCTTTTAATTTCTGACTTTTTTCCAAGCTAAATTTCTCTCTGCTAGAACGTGGCTAGCAGATTTTGGTGGAATTTTACCTGGGCTTAACTTGGTCCAGCAGTTCTGTGGCTGCATCTCGCAGCTGACAGCATCTTCTCTTCCCTCAAAAGCACACCTCTCAGAGGGGCTCCCTGGAGTTTGAAGTAGTTTCCTTTTTTTCTTTAGCCTTTTTAACTTGAAAGTGAATTCCAGCAAAGTGGAGGTGGTGGAACAATAAGCAGAAACAAACATTTGCTGACACTATCAGTGGAAAAAAAATGAAGCAATTTCATTTTATGATGAAACCACTATATGATGCTGAAAGCAAATGCAGGGTTGGATTGCTGTCACTGGAAAGCCTGAAGTGTGTTTTGTGTTGATATCTTCTATCTTAGTACTGGAAATTCATTTCTGTATAGAAAAGCCAGAGTTCATGCATTATTTAGACACCCTGAATGGAACTAATACAACGCAGAATTTTTGAATTTTTGTCTAGGCCTTCTGCGGAGGAGTTAGATTTCAGTCTCTGACAGAATAGAAATCCAGTGAAATGCACAGCTTGCTTTAGAAGATGAAGAATAGTGTGATTGTACTGTCAAGCCAGGAAGACACCTTTAGAAAAAGGACTTTCAAAGCCCTGGAAGACTAAAGGGGTAGAAATTGGGCAGGAAGGAACTAACCTCCCTGTGTTATCAGCACCTACGAGATGTCATGAGAAATGGAGAGGTCTCATAAATGTGTCCTCAGTTCCATATGCACTTTATATATGCAATATTAATTGGTATATTGGCTCAGTCTGATAACAGAAGAGTTACTGTTGTTGGTCACATATGCTGCCAAAATAGCACTGAGTGGGCCTTCATTTCAGCATATTCAGTATGAATAGGATGTATTCGGACCCTGTGAGCCACCTACTGTAATAGTGTCACATCTGGAGTGCTATCAGTACTTCCTCATGTAGTTTTGTGTATTCTCTCCTTGTGGAGGTATCCAAGAAATAATGCTCAGTATTCTAAGCTCTCTCTTTCTTTTCATCATATCAGGCTTGCCAAAAAATCCTGGTTTGGTAACTTCATCAACCTTGAGAAAGAAGAACAAATTTTTGTGGTCATCAAGGACAAACCACTAAGCTCTATTAAGGCTGATATTGTCCACGCTTTCCTCTCGGTAAGTCACTTCAAAGACATGCTCTGAACTGGAGGCATTGCTCACTGGCCAGTTCCAGGCCTTCTTGTACCAGACGCTACCAGTCAGAGTTCTCAGCTCCTTCAAACATTTAATTTATATGGCATACTGATTTAGGCCTCCCCTAGTCTTTATCTGAATTTCTAATATTTATATTCTCTACAGTGAAAAAAGATTTCACCTTTCTTGGCAGGGACCCCAGGTTTGCCAGTGCTTGGAATACCAGTGCAGTTAGAGCTCACACTACTAGTGTGGAATTGAGACAGTAACTTGTTGCTTTGTCACATTTTGTAATCAGCTTCTGGGCCTCAGTTTGAGTCTCCCTTTGCTGGGTATGCCCTCCACCGCTTTTATCAGGCACAAAAACCTCTCTCATATCTGCATTTTTTGCCTCTTCTGTACTTTATGGCAAATAGAAGGTAATTTCCTATTGTGTCCCGAGTACCAATTGTTGCAGATACTGTTTATTTACAATCTAGGACTGTCTACTATATGAACAGAGAGAATTGTCATGTGATTTCCTAGATTAAGTCCTTATTTTCACCCATCTAGAAGTATCAGTGAAGCAAAAGTCAGCACAATGAAGCGATCTGGGGAGGGTTTTTTTTTTTCAGTTCACTGGAAAAATAGTTATTGATACATATAGGAGGATACTAGAAAGCTGGTTCTTACAGAGAACTTACAGAGTTCTTTTGTATATTGATAAGAACTGTGGTATAGGCAAATGACTCACAGGCATGCTGACCCTTCTCTTTGTGCTGGTATCTCACTGGTATCACAAAACTACCAAGCAATTCAACGAGCTCAGGAGGTCTCCTGCTCAAGACAGTTTCAGCTATGAGGGCAGACCAGGTTGTTCAGGGCTTTGCCCAGGTCTTGCAAGTCTCCAGAGCAGAAACTGCATAACCTCTCTGAGCAACCTGTTCCAATGTATTGACTGTCCTCATGGTGAAAGTGGGTGTCATTATATGCAGTCTTACATACCACTGACTTTTCTAGCCTTAATACCAGCTCTCACTCAACAAAAGATATTTCTTGAAACTGATAGGTGGTGAGGAAAAGCAAACCTGAGTGTGTGCAGTTGTGCAACAGGTGGGACTTATGTGCCTGCTGGGTACCCCCTCAATATTCCACTGTTAAATGTAGTTCAGTCATGTAGGAAGCGGGCATGCTGCGGTGGTGCCATGCAGCCTCCAGGTTTATTGATTTCACAAAAATACTCCATACTTTACAAGTTTGAGCCCAGAAGCAGCAGGTCTTAACCAGTCTAGAAATGCATAACTAATTGTTTTAAATTGAATCCTGCAATTTTGCTGCCTTTGTATGTTGGTCTTATCGTCTCCTTTTCCCCACCTGTTTCAGATTCCAAGCCTCAGTCACAGTGTCATCTCACAGACAAGCTTCCGTGCAGAGTATAAGTCCACAGGTGGCCCTGCTGTCTTCCAGAAGCCAGTGAAGTTCCAGGTGGACATAACGTACACAGAAGGGGGAGAGGCGCAGAAGGAGAACGGGATCTATTCTGTCACTTTCACGCTCTTATCAGGTAACTGCAGCAAAGCCATAATGGGCTCCAAGTTGCCTTTGCAACTGGTACGGAGGCCAGCAAAGAGAACTCACCCAGGGGAAGAAATCTTTTTTGACCTTAGGGGAAAATTCAGATAGTTGGAAAGAGGAGGACATGGGGAGCAAGAAGATTCCCAAAGAGATGATTCCCTGCCATGAATAGTGTTAAAATTCTGCTCTGCACATCAGATTTGAAATACTCTCCTTGTTTGAGCCCAAGGGAGGCCACTAGTTTCTCCTTTCATAAAGAAATTTCCACCTATCTTTTTTCATGGCTACCCATATCACTCACTGGGGTTTAGGTGGACAGCTGAAATCAGTGGGAAGCCCAGAAGTTGCCCATATGTCTCACTCCTTCCAACCAGCCTGGCTTCCATTCCACTGCTTCACTTCTCCTGCTCTTTTCCTCCCCCTCACAACCCACCCGTCATGGAAGGCAGTAATTCCCTCCAAGCAATCCAGTATTGAGGATCAACAGGCCCTTAACCAGACTGATGCCACAGGAATGCAACAGTCTCCTCTGTCTCTTGGATATGGACGGTTGATTTTGCCTTCCTGTCACATGCTGTTTGGCCCTGAGGCTGCCTGTCACATTTAAGGGGGGAGAGCAGCGACACGAAGGCTGGGTGGATATTGTGCAGCTTGCCTTAGGCTGGTGGAGCGCTGCTCAGCGAGACAGGCCTCACCAGGGCAAGATGACACCCCGTCCTGCTGGCCTTATTAGAACCATTGATGAATAGGTTTGTTATTGCCACTGTTTAGTAGGAATTGTCCTCACTCTTTGATGGGCTTGGAGAGGGTTTGGGGAGGAAGGGGGATGTTTAAAAAAAAAAGAAGATATAAAAACCTCTATCATCTTTACAAAAGTCGCCACGCAGCCATCCTTCCTCCTGTTCAGTCCAGCACACCACAGTCCCTCAAAACTTGGGAACCGAATAAATACTTCCTTGTAGCTGTGCCCCTTAGCTGAAGGACAGCTCAGTGCTTCTCAGTACACAAATAGGGAGAAAATTGAAAGGAAGTTCCCTCTGTCCCATGTTGTTTGGGGATTCAGCTCCCACTCCTCTTACAACCATCTGTGCCTCTTTCTCCTTACAGGTCCAAGCCGTCGTTTTAAGAGGGTAGTAGAAACCATTCAGGCACAGTTGTTAAGCACACATGACCAACCTTCAGTGCAGCAGTTATCAGGTAAGTAGTTTCTACTGTTGAGCACCTTGCTTCAGCAGGGTCAGGAAGGTGAAGTGCCTCTCAGTACGAGGAGGCTGAGGGAGGTCATCCCTCTGATGACAGCAAGGAACTGGCTCCATTCAGACAGAACAGTAACTCCCCACACCCACCCCACTCCTCCCTCTCTCATCCCCACTCCAGTGCTCCCAATGCATTCCCCAAGCGAACAGCTTCTCCCCTACTCCCGCCTAAAGAGCCATTTGCCCACTTCTCCATCAAAGGCTGCATCATCAGTAGTTCTTCCAGATTTCCTTTGGCTCCAAAATCTCCCAGAACAGGGACAAGCTCTAGACAATATCTAATTTTCAAGCTTTTCAGGTGTGCTGTTGGAACCTCTTACTTCAGAGGGTCCCAGAGTCAAGCTGAGAGAGCTACTTTTAATTAGCCATTAATAGCAGCATTTTCACATAATCAGAAGGTGACTAATAGTTTCCATGTCTATTTTTAATGTAAATCACTATTCTTAATGGTTGTAAAGAAAGACAAGTGTGGCCCTGTGCAGTCGAATCAGTCTGAATCTGCAGGCAGCCTGAAATGGTAACACAAATTCTGAAAACCAGTAGTGGCACTAAAAAAAAATAAAATCAATATTACTTCTTCTGTCCCTTAAGAGGACAAAACAATGGAAAAGTTGGGAAATGAAATTGTAAGGATGCTTAGCTATTGGGAGTGCTTCAAGGAAGTAAAAAGAATCTGGAGAAGCAGGAAAAAAGTACAAAGGTACAAATAAAGGGAAGAAATATGAGCAAGACAGAGGGTGAAGGCTGCAGAAGGGAGATAAAGAAGCAGGAGGAGTAATACAATGAGAATTTTCTCATTGTAAATACTGAAAAGGTGGTAACTAAATATATGTAAGAGTTTACAGAAGAGTCAAATTCTGTGCTTGACCTTTGTGTGAACCAGCCACAGAAAAAATGGATGGGAAGGAAGCGGGTATGGCACCCTGCCGTTAAATGCTGGATCTCCTTGGTTCATTGCACATATGGGTTACAAACTTCTGGTCTAACGTGTGGCTTTAACAGCTGAAGATAAAATACTCTATCTAGAATAGTGTGTGCTCACTATATGACAGAAAACTACACTCAGCTGAGGACAGATAACTTTCCACTTGGCTTTTGCCCTCTAGCACTGCCTGACCTTCTGCATGCTGGATTGCAAGGGTATCCAGCACATGAGTTACTCTGTTAGGGAAGAGGGAAAGTGAGAATATTTGAACTAGGGTCAGTTCAGGATCTTGATTGAGTATAGGCCTGGACTTTCGAAATTAAATTGAACCCAAGCAAGTAACCAGAGTTTTCTGCCAGTGCTTCCTCTTGGGAAGTAATGAGGCCCAGTGGAGTATCCTTTGGGTATAGTTCATATTAATCCTGCTTATTTCATACAATACAAGAAAAAAAAATACATGAAAGTGCCTTTACCCTCTTCTGAGGAAAAAAAAGTTATAAATAAAATTGTGAGCTGTCTTCATAACACAACTGTAGTATGCTCTAGCTACAGAAGCACAATGGCAGGAATAAAAGCCATTCATCTAACTGAGAGGTTCAGATATTGGGCCAACAGTGCTGTGAGAAACGTATCTGACATTCAGTTTTGCTCTGTCTCCGGAAGGGAGAAATCATATAATAGATGCCCAATCTCTTTCTGCTGCCTAAAGGTACACTAGCGTGTGTCAGTCTAGCCAGGGAAAACCAGCCTGATCTTTAAAGCCAACGAAGGAAGAATAGCTTTGCATGGGGCCGAATCAAAATGGGTGATCTCTGTAAACTTAACAGTGAGAATTCCCAGGACCACGTTGTTACTCAGGCAAGACGGCTCCCGAGACACCCAGAAAGCAAACCCTCCTGTACTCGCCTGTGCCATCAGCTAGGTGTGTGTCTCTTGAAAAAAGTGAAGTAGAGGAACTTCAAAAAATTAGTTTGAAACTGAGTCCAAGAGGAAGAGAGAAAGGAAGGCAAAAAAAAAGAGAACCTGTTTGTCAAAGTAGGAATCCCCCTTGGTTCACATACCCCAGCCATGGTGAAAGGGTAGGAGGAAACAGGAATAAGAGCTCAATGAGAGAGCTGATGCTCACCATGCTCAACTAGCCAGCTGTAGCTGGGCAGGCCTGTGCAAAGACGTCTAGAAATTGCCATGGGATTACTCTAATTTCTGTCTGCAGAAACGAGGCAATTCTTTGTTTCTCTTCTCCCATGCCCCTATCTCTGAACACTTCACGTGCATTGTGGTGGCTGTGTTCCTGTGCAGCTTCATAGTTGAAGGCTGCTCTGTGGGCAAAGTCAACTGAGGCAACAGAAGGGGCTGACAGTTCATCCCCTCCTGCTTGGCTCTGAGGATATTCAGCCCAGCAGTTTGGGCCTGTTTATACCATTGTCAGGTTACTGGGGTTTTCCCTAGCTCGTTGTGCACCTCTGTGCAAGTGTCTCCCCTGCCTTTTAGTTCGGACCATCTGCAAGAGAAAAGCATGCATGTAAAGTGAGAACTGCAGAAGGGGTAGATTCAGTAAACACTGTGAAGCAGAATAGCAAGGCCTAGTAAGCACAAGGCATGGACTGTCCTTCTCTCTCCTGCCCCTCTTTGATCTGCTGTGCAGCATGCCAGCCCGCTAAGCTGGCTTGCCTGGGTTTCAGAACGCACTTCCCTCTGTCTCATTCCTTCCAGCTCACAACAGTGTTTCTAGCTGTGTTGTCCATGCATCTGTGTGTGTGTGTGTGCGTGTGTATGTGAATGTGTGCACACATATTTACCTGATTTAGGCAGATGTATTTTTATGGTGCATATGCACACTCTTGTTATATCCCCTCTCCCATAGATATTCTTCCATTCACTGCCATACTCTCTTCCTAAGACTGGCTGTGCTTATTCTTTCTCAAATACTCTGAAGCAGGAAAATAGTTTTCCACACTCTCTATAATAAATACATAAATACATGAAATCCATCCACAAAGCTAAATTAATACATTTAAAATCTACTGTCAAGTTGGCCATGTTCAGCATAATACATCAGCCTCTCCCTTAATACTTCAGGTCATTAAATCTACTGAGGTGTAAATGCTGCGGCAATAGCAGGCCGACAGGCTTGTGACTGACGTAGAACAAGTATGTAGGACTGGTTGTGCTTTGTTTCTTCTGCTAAAAAAAAATGCCATTACCTGAAACTTTTTTAAGCCAAGTACAAAACAAGCACTGGGAGCTGTTTCCTGGCATAGTAGGCAGTAACTGTGGAACTTCCTGCTGAAGCAAGCTCTGATGAAAGAAGCTTCTATAGACTCGTACTCCTACGAGTACTTCCATATTCAGAGGGAGACTGGACAGCTCCCTGCAAGAGAAATCTTTGTGGATTGCTTTGCAGAGGAACCATTGCAGGCTTATCAAATCCCTGACCTAAAAATGGCCAGAAAGTGAGGCAGTATTAGGGGAAAGCAGCATGAGTGTTTGGCCTGCTGGGTTTCCATATACAGCTACTAACATGTCATGGTTTGGTCCTTGGATCTGAACCAGAAGAGCTGTCCGTGTGTTCTTGATAAGAGTGTCCATTATGCTCAGTGAGACTGTGAGAGGACAGTCCTTCTTGGATCAGCAGGGAAGAACCCTGCCCATGGAAGAACTCGGCCTTGTCTCTTGTCCATATATTGCTCCGTCCAGGAGTCTCATACGCAGAATATGTACTTAGGTAGTCCCTGGGCAGAATTGCCCTTTGGTGGGGCAAAAGGATCTTTGTAGGGAAGAAAACACACACAAAAAAAACCCCACCTTGGCTCTTTGCCTTTGTTTCAGCCCAGTACACTTTCCATTAAATGTTACTCCGTCTGCCTCCAGTGCCCTCACACAAAGGAGTAATAGAAACAGCTGGTGAATGGGGGCATGCAAAAGTGATCGGTGGTTATTCTCAGACTATCAGCTTTATCTTCATGATATTTTCTTGCATTTATGCTGTGATCTTGCCAGTGGGGTGTTTCATATCCTCATTTTCCCCATTTTCCCATGTTCTGGACAATCAGCAATAGTAAAATAGCCTATTTTTTTACTTCACTATAATAGGTTTTCTTCTTCTTTATTGTTAATCTTTCTGCTCTACGTCAGATTTTAACCACTGGCACCTCAAAGATGAGAACTTCTCAGTGTTGCAGCTGGATCTGCTTTTCGTCAGCATAGGCAAATGCTTAGAGACCATATCCATCTTCAAAACAGGGCAGTACAAATTCTTTCCCATTGCATCTTCAGTAAATGCTCCTTAGCTCTCTTACTGTGGTGGTGTACGTATGTAAAAAAAAATGCATGTGTGACTCAGCTTGGTTGTAGCATTGATCTATGCAACCTAGTTGTTGATCTTTATGACTTACAAGAGCTATAGGTTGACTAATTACAAATTAAGGTGTTTGAAAGGTAAAGTTCCAGCTGCAGACCCATTCCAGGGCCATGCAATGGCCAGTTTGGATTTGGACTGCAAGTCAGGCTGGTGTGGGACTCATCCAGCTTCCATGTTTATATTGTTCTCTGCATTCTCGTAGAGATCCTTTATCTCTTACCATTCTTACAGTGTCTGGGGCAATCACTTCATCTTCCCGCAATGATTCCCACCTATAAAAGGTGTGGGGCAAAGCCTGGTTGGTTTGGCAGAGCAATTTTTGTCAAGTAGACTTGACATTAAAGCATAAAGCATAGGAAAAACATCCAAGCACTGCAGATGTTTAATAGGATGATGCATTTCAGATAAGCACCCAAAGGCTGGGGAAATGATAACTATCTTGGACCGGAGGAACTGGTGTCTCTCCCTTGACATCATTCCTGTGATGGAAATGTATCCTGGGGGCTCCAAGCATCTGGCAGGAGATGCTTGGTGCTTTCTGGAGGTCTCAGAGGAGCAGTTGCTTGGGTGGTATTTCCTAGGTTAGGACAAATCATAGTCTCATAGACATCAAGAGCATCCCAAACGAGTAAAATTTAGGATAAGCACAGAAATTCAGAAGTTGAAGAAAATAGAGGGGAGATAGTGGAATTTTAACAATTTTTATTTTTTAATTGGATTCAGAGAATGCTTGGCTTTCTCATGCTCAGATCAGGAAGGTCTGGTTTTAAGCAAAGCATTTTGCCATCTGTTAATGAACTGAACTGGGTGTCATTTATAAGAGAGTCTTTGTCAAATCCAAAGTGTGAATGAGTGCCAGCAGTGCTTAGGAAATAGAGAATTAATTTATCATCAGAAGGATGGAGAGCTGGCGCTGCCACTGTGTTTTAATTAAAAAATTAAAAAGCACCCATGAAAAATGCAGTGACATGACACATCAACGCTTCTCAGACAGGTAAAGGCCCTTAGACTATCATCTGACTCATAACATCTGGATCCTACAGGCTCCAGGTTACGGATTATTATCCACGAGCAGCAGCTGGCTGCCAAGAATCTAAGAGGCTTTCTAGTAAGGATGAAAATTCTACTTTAAAATTAGAAAATATTTTATCATGTAGAATATTTATTAGAGCAGAAGTTACAATATGATGGAAATAAATGAGGTGTTAAAGTAAATGTTACAAGAAAGAGGATGGAGGCATATGAACTCTATTAGTCTTGCAGCAGCTGTCATGAGCTACAGTTTCTAGTGTGCTCATTTTTCCTATTCTTGAGGAGTGGGAAGAAAACACCTGATCACATATAAAGAAGACAAAAGAAATGATGGCAGATTCTTGTGCAATCCCCGTGACTGACAATACAGAGAATACAAATTACAGTTTTCCATAACAATTTTAAGGAAGAAAAAATATAGGTTTTATTAGGTCTTCCTTTGATATTTTTTCATGATCTTGAGTTCTGAAAGCATTTCAATGTTCTTCCCTATCCATCAAAAATAATTCTACAGCCTAAAAGTAGTAGCTCAGGAACAAAATGGATTACAAGGCTTAAAATAGTAAGTTATCCAAAAGCCTGTGTTACAATCCGTTTTCCTTTTGTTGATCTGTCAGTTTGTATTCTAATCACACGTGATTAATATATTTAGATCTGTTACACAATTAGGTTTACATGAAATACTAAAGAGATGTGCTGACTGCAAATGACTTAGAAAAAAAGACAGTATTCATCTGAATTATTAAGTAACTTAGTGAGGTATTAACTTGATTTTTTTAACTAAAAAGAAAAAAGCAAATAAATAGAGCCATTTCAGGCGAATTTTAGTAAAACCACCACAATGTTTACCTATTCTGATATTATCCAAATGCCACTCTTTTTTGTTTGTTTTCAGATCACTAGTGACTGAGTAGCCAGTCAGTTTTCATGCACATGAGGGAAAGACTTTAAGAAATTTAAGTTGGGAATTAGCAGGAATTGTTCAGATGTATTTGAGGCTTTCCTGGCTTTAGGCTTTTTTTATGCACTTTCTCCAAGCATAATGCTAATGACTGTCTGGATACTTGGAGTTTTTCAGCATAGAGCTGGGTTACATTGCATTATAACATAATTGACCCAGATGGGCTGGACAGGAACTACTAAAAATTTTCCAGGTTATCAAAGAAAAACAACAATAGAAATTTATGACTGTGACTTCTGATCATTGGCACAACTCAGCAGCTATACACAGTTCTTAAGCCTGGTTAGTATCTTCAGGAGGAAGAGTTTTAGGAGCTTAATTTGTCTTTGCTCAGAATAGCCAAAGAATTTCAAAGATAAATAAACTCTTGGCCTCTTTGACACCTCTGACAGCTTGTTCCAAATCTTGAACCTTCGCCTCTACCTAACCTCCTTCCTTTTGCCCTCTCTCCTTCTTTAAGTCTTATGCCTTTCTGAGAGACCTTCCATGGGTATTGTCTCCATTTCACCTTTGCCAGCCTGTCTCTGTCCTTGGAGATGGAGACCGTAGCGGTTCTCCTCAGATGCTCTGGCCAGTGTCACTGGACCAAGCACTGTACTCCATGCACTCCCATGTGATCTCTGCACAATTGGCCTGGCTACATCAGAAGACATATCCATGCTCTCCTAGCATGGATTGATGCTGGGGGAAATAACTTACCCAGACATAGCCTGTGCCAGATGTTTTTTTCCTTCTGAAGTTACTTTTCTCAATATTTAAGGGGTGGAATGCTGAGAAGTGATCCTAACCTCTCTCCTGATGACTTTTCAGCAGAAGGAAGAGTAGCTAGAGCTTCCTAGCAAATAGCAGTTTCAGTATATATATGTATATTCCCAAGAACTCTTTGGTATGTGACATCTGAGACTGAACTAAGTGCATTAACTATTACCCACTTGCTCGGCAGCCTGTGGGTGCTCCCCATTGCACAGCATGCACGAGCACAAAGATTTAGGTCCCAAATGCAAGGGTGTCCTGCCTGATGGCAGATTCTGCTTGCTGGAGGTTCTGCCTGGAGATGTCCAGCATCCTTTTTACATTAAATCTTACATATAGAGCTCCTTCCACTCACGCACCTAGGCAGGAAGCAGACAGAGGCTGTTGCAGTGGGAGCTACACACAAGCAGGCAGGATTGCTTTACGGACAGGCTTCTGCCACCTTTTCAACACGTAGTTCTCTTGCCTGTGAGCAATCCCACTGAAATCGAATAAGAGACTGCATGTGAATGAGAGGCAGGTTTTTGACCTTGGGCTTTTTCTTGCGGGGTCTGAAAGATGTTTCTGAGCTGGTTAAGTAAATCCTGTATTCCATGTCTAGTAGCACTGCAATATAGATGCTTCTCCTCCCGGTCTCTGAGCTTTTGATGTATGTAGCTGAGCTAGCTGGACATTTTCTGGGTTTTGCAGGATAACTTACAAGCCTAGACAGATGAAACAATGTGTTTCAAGGCTTTTAGTTGGCTAATGGAGTAGCGAGCATTTTCCTACACCTTATGGATCCCTAGAGCTGATAAAGAGATGGGTGGGAACAGTGGGACTGAGGTAAACTCCACTCTCAAGTTGCATGTCCAGGATTGCACTGGCATAAATGGGTGAAAGAATTTGGCCCGGGGTGTGTGAAGCCCAAGATGTGTATATGTTTCCTGCTTCAGGTAATGATGTGCTAAGTTACTACTTTATGCACAGAGGTATGGAAACCTTTTTTTGTGTTTTTCCCTCCCTCCCTCCTCTTTCCGTTCTATGATCCAGACACCACTAACTGTATGGAGTTGATGACTGGCAGACTTTCCAAATGTGGTAAGAACTTCCTTCCCTTCTGCCTTTTCTCCTACCCCAGCCCCCGCTGAGCACTCTGTTTCGCGCCGTCCAGCCCCGTCCACCGGGTTTCCTTCCCTCTCCCTGCCTTCCCACACTCTTTACAAGACTGTAACAGCCCGACGGGTCTTTCACTTCCCTGGTGGACACAGACACATCCCCTTTACTCCATCCCTCCCTCTCCATGCCTAGATGCACAGACTCTGCCACAGCTTTCCTCTTCACGGCACGGGGTGTGGTGTTGCACTTGTGATTTCTTCCCTCACTGTAACCCAGGCCAGTGATTTTCTTTTTCTTTTCTGTTTTCTTTTTTTGGTTTTTTTTATCTTTTTGTTGGTTTGATTTTCTTTTGTTTACTTGCTGCCCTTGATTCATGATTCTTCAGTCCCTTTTCCACAGTGAAGCTGAATGCTGCCCTGCTAGCTGCTGTCCCCCTTTGTTTCCTGCTATTTATTGAGACAGGATTGCTATGCTATTGAATTCCCTTTTGCACCCACTCCCTTCTTCCCCATATATCTTTGGGGTAAAACCTTTCCAAACCCTCCCTATGACTCACTGCACACTATCCGCCAGACACTTAGCTAGCGTAAATTGTCCTAGTTGCAGCCTGATCTTGGGGAAGGATAGCAAGTCCCTAGCCGGAGGAGCTGTGTACTTACTGGGCTTTCAGATTTTTGCTAGGAATAATAAAAATAAAATAAATAAATAAAAGTTTCCTGCAAAACTTGCGGCTTACCTTTCTTGGACTACATAAGTTTGGCTAACTTGTTCTTTCCCTCCTCTCTGTGCTCACAATGGTTTACTTGCTTCCCTGCAGTCCCCATACCCATACTGACTCCTCCAAATGTAGCAGTGGAAATACCCAGCTACTACAAGAGACAGTTTGGGGATCCTTCTTCTAGCTTGTACAGAAAGGTTCTGTACAAGAGTCCCCTGTTCTTTTTAGGTTTCTTTTCAGGTATCTAGATCGAATTCAGGTATCTCAGCGACAGGGCAGCTGTTGAGGAGCGGTCAGTGAGCAGGGGCTGCTTTCCAATTGGACCTGACTCCTGTGTCATCACTTTGTGCACTAAGGAGAGCTGTTCTGGGTTCACAGTGCAGATAATGCTAGTCTTGTGCATGTGTGATTGGACCTGTTTTCTATAATTCAGACCATCTCTTTCCCATAAATGTCAGCTTTCGAACAGGGAGTTTTCCTCCTCCTCTGAAGGGGACTCATTTGATTTCTTGAGATTTCTGGGCCTGTCATTCCCAGTTTCCTCATGAAGACTCATTTAGGTGATAAGCTGACCTCTAGCTTCTTCTTAAGGACACCAGAGATCAAACTCCTCCCTGAAGCCTCATTTTGTTGCGTGGATCTGGCATTCACATCACACCCAAATCCTGAGATGCTGATTTTGCTGAGTATCTGCAAGTTAAGGTGGCTGCCCAGCCAGCACTCTGCCCTCTGTCAGTGGTGCATTGCCCTTCACCCCCAGCTCAGCCAGGTCCTTCAGCCATCACAGCGTCCACATCAGTCCCACAAGGGCCAGAGGACAGTGGAGGCACCAAGGAGGGTATTTTATGGCAGCTACTGTGCAGAGAAGGTGTATAAATTCAGAGGAGAGAAAGGAAAGGTGGTAGGATTTAGTGGGGCTGCTTAATTTGCGTCATCTTTATCACGCAGCAGACGCCGTGGTGACAGCCACCATGCCAAGTTTTGCCATCCTGTGTGAATGAGGAGCCATTGTGTTGCATGCAGGGGAGCTCACCTACAATTCGGGCAGGGAGTTCAGGGCACTGATGCCAGAATTCAGCCTGCTGTTAGCAAACTGTTCTCTGTGGCTTGGAGGACAGATGCCCCCAGTGAAGTTGGTGCAGTGTTTGTCTAGTAAGTACAAATAGTGTAAAAAAAGCTATATTATGTGGGATTTTTGGACCTCATGATTGTTCTGCATTTTGAGAATGGGCCCTGGGGATCGTTTTTGGAAAAGAGTTAGCACTGGAGCGGGAAAAAAAAACACCACATCAGATGCTTTATGTCTGGCTCAACCATGTGAAAGCTCTGGTGGGAATGAGATGTACCTTTTGACTGACTATAAACCATTAAACATTGTAATTAACAGCAAGGCAGATTTATTAAGTCCTCTAAATGTTATCTCATCTTCGGCTAGCAGTGGTCATCCATCTGAAATGTGATTTTGCATATAGCAATTGGCATTGAAAAACAAGTTATTCCTGAACAGCAGAGGTGTGTTGTAGGAGCTGCCAAGGAGCAAATGACAAACAGCTACTATATCAGACCAAACAGCTGCTGTATCACTCCTACCTGTGCACATTAGAAAACTGCTACTTATAATATTTCATAACAGGCAGAGGGAAACCTTTTGACTCATAATAAGGTTAAAATCCCCATTGGGATGGGATACTTTGTTATACATTTCCATCCATTGCAGTGGGAGAAAGGACATTTCTAGTGTCAGAAAGCGTAAGGTGGTTTACATCGAGTCTTTAATATCTTTTTATAGAGAATAACTTTACCTTGTTAAAAAAATTAAATGTAGCTATAATCTGAAAAACTGTAGAAATGGCACCTTCCTACTTAGCTGATCTTTTTCTTGCATGTATTCAGTCAAATCAGTTTAGTGACAAATAAGATTTACTACTTTATATGGGCCATTAAGGCATATAAAGTCAACAGGGCTGTAAAAGAACGAACTTGATATTGTTTCTTTTGGGCCAGGACTGGTCCAACTATTTATTACCATGTAATCAGGTATTTTTGTCTATCCCACTGAAGAATAGGTTGTACACAAGTACATGAAACTGTACACGAAATCCGGAGCCATTGAAATATGCCACACAGAAGCCCACAGTGTCGTTTCTGCAGTCCCTGTTCAGAGGAGATCCTATCTTTGAAAGCCTTAAAAACTTTAAGGACTCTAAAAGACTGAGCTGAGGCTTTCTTTGGGTTGTTGAATCAACAGTAAAGCTCGTGTAAGGCCTTTGATGGCTCCTCTTCTCAGCAATCCCCAGTTTGGTGGAGTCCTTAGTAGCTGCATTTCACCAAGGCACAGAAAGCTCTGCAAATCCTGCCTAGTTCTTGACTTCACATTCTGAGAAAAACTTGCCAGAGAGCCTGCAAACTTTGCAGTCTCCATCCTGAAGCTCCCTGAGGCTGAGTCCTGCTACCTCTAAGGCTGTCTTTGCTTGTTCCTCCCCATTCTTCCTGACTCCTCAGGGAAGCCTTAGGTTACATCACTGGCACTTCCGCAGAAACATATGATGAAAAGAGGAGGAAGGGATTATTAGGTGCAGTCAAGTCAGTATCCAGGCAAGCCAGGCACTGCTCAGACGTGCTTTCCTGCCATAACCCAGTGACAACAGGCTGGTCAGAAGACCTCATTTTTATTCTTGTTCATCCTATATTACTGCTTGCAATGTGAAACCTTGATTACTGACACTTCAGTGTTAAACAGAAAAACTTACAGCTTTTTCTGTACCAGTGAGTGTCACCAAAGTGTTCTGACCACAGCAAGAAACACAGCAAGTTGCTTTTCATATCTTCCTAATATATCTCAATCATATCTCTTGGTTTCAGTGTCTTAGGAGTTTGATATTGCTTCTTACTCAGAAACATGTGACTTTGTCCCCCACAACCACTCATTCTCAGAATTCAGAAATTCTGAGAGGCTTTGAATTTCTGAAATTTCTGAATTCTCCTAACGTAGAAATTAGGAGAGGCTTTGTGGTTTAAAACTGACTACATCACATTTGGCTTGCAAACGTAGCATGTAACTTCTGTGAGTGCTGCTTTGGAGATGCTTGATGTCAATAGCAGCAGAAAATATCTGGATTTGGTGCTCTTGGAAGTAATCCATATCCATATTGTCATTACTTAGAGTAATCCTACTTGCTTTGGAATAGCCATTTGCCTTTTGAAGGGAGAGAAGATGGTGATTTGCATTCATGAAGTCCTACCTGATGGCAGAAACACTGACGCTGAGAGATGCAGATGAAATGTAAGCTGTCCTCCCATGTACAAGGCTCCTCTCAATATTTTTACACTGTGAGGTTGTCAAAAGACAACACTATTTCTGAAAAAGATGCTGGTTACTGGTGTTTCTGAGCATGACTGATTCTTGATGCATACATTCATATATTGTGACCCAAATGAAGGGTCAGAGGAATAAGTCCTATGTGAAACATCACATACTCGGTCGTGATGAATGGATCACAGTAAGTGAGATGAGTCCAAAGTGTTCAAGACAGATTTCCCTCTTGCCCGTTCTATTAGTACTATTTGGCATCCAGATACACACCTGATTCCCTCTACACCGTAGTCAAAGCTCTTCATTCTAATTGTGGGCTTTTTTTTTTTCCCAGTGAATGACTTGTGTTTTCGCATGGTAGAAAAGAGAACAAAGAAAAGGCAAATTCACACTAAAGATGAATCCAGATGTGTAAGATTGTTTGGTACATATCAGCTCCTGTTTTGATATGTATAGCCAGATGTTTGCACTCCAGCACAAGGTCTTTTCCTCTTTCTCTGTAATCTCCATCTGGAGAAAACACAAATCTCTCTCTTAATTAAGATCAGGGTACTTTATTTATGGCAGGCAGTGCTTCCATCCGGATATTCTGTGTGAATATTTCCTTGCTGCACTTAGCTAGATTTGAAGTGGCCTCCCTTGAAAATTAAACTGTATTTTGAAGGGATTGATTCAGAGGTAATGAGGAATTAACATTTCACCAGTATTAACAGATGTTTTCTCTCCTTAGGAGCAGGTCAGAGAACTTAAGAACTCTAAGATCATTCTTGAACATCCAATGGGCAGGAAAGGACAAAAATCTTATTATTAAGAGCCAATACATGCCTGATGCTTTTTTGAACAAGAACTTAGAATGAAGCAACAGAGATATTAAAAGGATGAGCAGCAATGATACCATCATCTGCTGTGGCTTTGCTTCCCCTCTCATGCAGTTGTGAAAGGACAGATAGA